GGGCCAAATACCAGAACCCTGTCCCCTCTCTTCCAACCCGCTGAGGACCTGAAACAAATGAAAGCGTCCTGTCTTCCACCATTTTCAAAAGTAGCAGCTTCACATGTCTTGACTTGAACGAACAAGGCGAGCACGCGCGCTTTATTGTCAGATAATTATACCAGAGCTTTTCAAGTGTCTTCTATTTGTGTCACTGGTCAGCGGAAAAGGAGGAACATACCGGTGAGTCATCACATCTGCCAGCAACATCACATGCCTTCTATCCAAACCAATACCATGAGCCTCCATAGTGTTGAGAACTTCGTTTACAATACACGTTCGAGCCGCTTCGATGCCGAGTACCTTAAAAATGAACGATAAGGAATGTTACTCTCTAGGCCTCGATCTGGAGCCCTCTCTTGCAGAAAGGAAAGGCGATGGGGCTACATTCCGCCCGTCTTTTCTGGGTGGTGAAATGGAACACAGCACTTACAAGGGTCTTCACTAACAACCTTGGGCAGGAGGGGATGAGGGGCATTTAAAGGACTCTATATGTGAAAATGAGATTATCGCAACAGAGCAGCAGACTTCTGGCTGAGTCTGGGAAAGGAGCCCCTGACTGAGCAGAACCAGTTTCAGGAACAGTAATCCCATCATCCTCACGTGGGTAATTTCAGCTTTGCACGGTCCTTTGAATGCTGCTTCACTTTCGCCTCCCTTCTCCAAAGGTTATCAGCACTGAAGCTACATGCCACAAGTACGCTATCCACAAAAAAGCTCTTTTTCAGTGGAGTATGTTACTCATTCCTGAAACCCTTCAGGATAATGAGGGCAGGCCCAAGCAATGATTGCCCCTCATAAATAGACGACCACTCTCAAGCAAGTCCACGACTTCCAACAGAAGTCGATTGTGTGGCACCTTTTGAAGGCACATTCTAGGATAAACCAAGGGGCGGAGAAATGCTCGGAGATATCGGCCTTTACGCCCTTCTCATGGATGCACCCCTCGTTCTGGTATGGTGTAAGGAAAAGAGCACCGATGAAGAACGCATATTGTTAATTCCGCCCATTACTTTGCTCGTCCGACCATCGTGGAACACACCTTCAAACAATCGGATTCGTCTCGGATACAGCGCACGTCCTGCAGTTGGCTAAATTTCGCAAAATACGATTCCCCCTCCCCTTCAAAACTTCCTCCTCTGTTGTGACCCTGCTCCTCCCTCCGTTCTACCATCTTTCTGGAAATTCTCTAGTTTATTCCCGAAAATCCCCGTCGGTGGGGGGGGAGGAAGGACGTGTATAGCGCTCGTGAAACGGGAAAACCAGTAGAAGTCAGCAACTGAGAACACTTCTCTCAAGAGCGAACGCAACCAGGTACGACCCCCCCCCCCTACGGACCAGGTACGACCTCGCTGATAATCCCCAGCGTACGACGTGCCCTGATCGGATGGCACTTTGGCGTTTCCTCTGGTTAACTGCTCGTCTGGACGCTCCTTCCATGTCATGATTTCTCGCGAGAATAGCCGCTACACTCCATTCATTTCCCACCCCAATCTCCCTCCTCTTTTCCATGACACCCTCAAAGCCAGCCTGACATGGTCACATGATAATGACAAAAACATAATTATCTTTCTAAATATGATATTACCTCAGCCACCACTATCGCATTGTTGATGTTTGTATGGATTGGGTCGACTCCGGTTTGCCCCAGAACACTACGGAAATCGTTGCTCTCAACGATGATTTTGTACTCGTCACCATAGCGCTCGTCCGCCTGCACCACACAGCGCTTCACATTCGGATAGCCTGAAAGTATCAAAATAGAAAGGAGAGATTCCTCAGTCGAAAGAAGCTGTGCGTGCTGATCATAATGCCATTTGCTGACTTGTCCGCTGACTTAGTCACAGTTGGAGCCGAAACAGAACTCTGAGGCCGCGTTCATACTCGGCGATTTGTGAGTCGCGCGGTTGCGACTGACCACGCACCGCCGCTAATGGTCGGAACGCCGCAACTGCTAATCTAATCGCAACCAGAGAGAGCTTATTTTAAAATTCACAGCGGTTCAACGACCAGTGGGAGCGCTGTCAGTCGTAACGACGCGACTGAA